AGTTCCACTTAAGAGCGCTTGAGCGTTGTATTTGGAATTGCTCTATCTAATACAATTTTTATGATAAATGAATGGAATTTTTTTTTATATATATATATATATATATTTATTAGCAATCAGAATAGAATACATTCTTTTAGCTAATTTGCTAATTTTAGCTAATTTGCTAATAAATGAATGGAATTAACTAAAAATTCTTCACACAGCAGTTCTGCATATAAAATTTTTCCACTCCTACACACAACAGTTCTGCAGTATAAAATCTTTCCTGTTTGTAACACTTGGGCTTGTTAGCAGAAACCCCATGTCATAAAAGTGTGCTGGCCATAAGCCTATATATTTCTATCTTCACAAGTTTCTAAGCTTATTCAGGGTATTTGGCGGAAGTTGATACAAAGGAAAATTGCCTGCCCCCTACTTTCTTTGAAAAACCCTTATTGCTGCCAAACAAGCGTCTTCCATTTACTGGATCTGACGATTCTGAACAGTTTCATCCTGCTATCATCCTGCGGTGCGAAACTGTCACATAGGGACTTTCATCTTACCCTTATGCGCAACATGCTGGAACATGCTGTAATGTTTCGCTCCCAACCACAACGCCCATTAGGTCGACCTCCTGCTCTGTCATCCACAATATTTCGTCTAGAGGAGGCCAACTGACATCACTGGCCGACCTCTTGTGCCATGAGAATGAAATGCCATGTTTGTTCTGGACGTGGAAAGCGGAAACATGTTCAGACGAAGTGCAAGAAATGTGATGTGGGATCGTGCATTCTCGGGTGCTTCAAACAGTACTGCACGAAAGCAAAATTTAGTTAGACGATGCAGGGGAGTAGCTTGTACAACCATGAAACAGATAACAACAACAAAAAAGGTATTATACATTGCATTTACTGCCAAAGAAGTAACGGGATGCTTTTAAGTCATTTAGAAAAGAACCGGGATGCCATCCCGCCCCACCTCAAGCCCTGTCTATTGTCCATCAAAATGAGTTTAGAGGCTGAGAATGATCTTTCTACATCAGCTGACGTGATTGGACACTATTTATACACTGGCGCCGAAGGTTTGGAACATTCATCTGGCAAACATACCCTAATTCCACCCTCAAGTACTGACTAATTGACTGATTCTCTTTTAGTCCTGGGTTCAATTTCAACACCTTTTCTAACTTGAATTTAATCTTCTCTCCAATTTCCTGGAGCGGAATTCAGTGAACAAGTTGCTTTCTGAATGAGTTGAAGTGAGTTGTGAAGGAGTGCACCAAAAGATTCTAAGCTCTCAATAACTTTTGAAACTGTAGAAAAATGTGCATGGATAAAATTCACATCTTGATAAACAGTATCACTTCCAAACACCACTTTTGCTTCATGGACACATGCATACTCATCTTCAAGTTATGTAACCACTTCTTTTACTTGACTGAAATTCTCCTGATAAAATGAAACTGCGGATATCCATGTCCCCCATCTAGTTAGGACAGGTTCAGTTGGCAGAGGAACCTGAGGTAGGCAATCTTTGTAGAACTGGAGACAAGCTGGTGCTTTCAGAAACAGTTTTTTCCCACTTGCAATTAAATCGTTAACAGCTGGAAACTGTGAGCGTATTTTCTGCAATATGGTGTAATCCGTGCGCTAAGCAGGTTACGTGTATAAAATTTGGATAAAATACTTGTAAGGCCTTTGCTGCTTTCAACATATAGGAAGCTGCATCTGTGAGTAAAACAAGCACCTTATAACAATTATTCTCAGTTTCAGATGGCCACAGTACTTGCAGAGAATCATTTACAAATCTTGCTGTTGTGCTATAGTTGGTTTTCTCTAGTACTTTGCAAGCAAGAAGATGAGGTTTGCCGGGTTCGTCTTGATGTAGCTTACCAACTATGAAATTTGTCATGTATCAGCCACATAAATCTGCTGTATCATCCACCGATATCCAGACACAGTTCCCTCTGATGTCAGAATGTACTGAATCCAGAGTAGATCATTTTTTCTAAGAGTTGATTCATATTTCTCCAGAAATGATTGCAGAAATGGACTGCTTAATTTATTCCATGGAATGTTGCTGCATACTAAAGCCTTACAAAGATCGGCTGAAAATGTATTAACAGAGGATTTGGGTTTGACCTGTGTAAGAAGTAGTTGTGGTGTGCAGTTCTTCTTCCCCATCTTTGCCGTAATATACGCAGTTGTTCTTGAGTGTTGTTCAAGTTGAAATTTCTTTTCACATTTTACTTCCTTTGCGCAAACTTGACAGTACACAACGACACTGCCTGCTGAATAGTCGCTATTAACCGACACCCACTGAATTTTTAAAAATCTACTGCTGTACTTTTCTTTAGGCATTTTCAGTACATGAACACTTTTCTGATGCAGAATATTAAAGAAAAGAGTAACACATTATTGTATTGTATTGTATTGTATTGTAGAGGGTGGGTTTCCCTATGCACTTAGACCAATTGTTGGTCCATTGTGCGTCCCCCTATGATATTCTACCAGTCTCTATTCCCTACCGGTACTGGTGCGTGCCATCAGTCCCAACTCAGCCAGCGAGTTTGGCCTCTACTGGCTCAGCGGTATCTCGATGCTTCCCCCATCTACCAGAGGCGTTAGAGACTACTGTTGGGCGGGAAATGTCCTCAATTTGGCTCAGTGGCCCTCTTGGGACATGAGGTTCTTTTACGTGCCATAAAGCTATGACATGGGACCCACAGGTTAAAGTCCCTCCCGGAGGACTTGTTTCCTGAATTTTTCCACCCTTAAAAATTCCACGACCTCTGCCGGGTTTCAACCCGCGTACCTTGAGTCACGAGGTGGGAACGTTACCCCTAGACTACGGAGGCCGCTTGAGTAACACATTAACTGAAGAGACTTTTCTTGAGACCAACCCTCTGATGCTACTGTCTGCTGTGGTGGTCAATAGAATATAGGAAAATCCCACCTCCTCCCTTTCGAAATAGCCAAGCTACCTGTTTGTATTGTAAGTAGTAAAAGTGACATTAATTATTATTATTATTATTATTGGAGGGGGTGGGTTTCCCCATGCACTGCGACTAATAGTCTGTTGTACGTCCCTCTTTGATATTCTACCAGTCGCCATACCCTGCCGGTACTGGTTGTCGCTATCAGCTCCGTTCAGCCAGCAAGGCTGGCAGTGGTACCCGATAACTTCCCCGTCTACTGGAGGCATTGGAAACTACTTGGGTGGGAAACTTTTTGCCTTTTTTTGCTCGGAGGTCTCCTAGAGACATGAGGATCTTTTACGTGCCGTAAATCTATGACACGGGACCCACGGCTTAAAGTCCCTCCAGGAGGATTGTTCCCTGAATCTTTCTGCCCTTAAATATTCCACGACTTCCGCTGGGTTTGAACCCACGTACCTTGAGTCATGAGGTGGGAACGTTACCCCTAGACTACAGAGGCTGCTGAAAGTGACGTTACTCAGAGAGTTGAGAAAAGCAACTGGCAAGGGATGTCCAAAACATGGGCAAAACCGATTTTTTTAGAGAACATTAAAATTACCTTTAATTCCAAACATATATGCAGAAATATGCTCTTACGTTTAGAATATGCAATAATGACCAAAAACCCTCAAAATATGCATTTGTATATGCGCATATGTATTCTCAAAAAATCCAGGCCCCAGATATGACTTACCATTATGCGTTAATTTCATGCAGATTGAACAATGAACGCAGAAGAGTCCAAAGTGACTGTCTTGCAAGGAAAGGTTGGGCAATATCTTCTGGACTGTAATGCCATGTACAGTTGCCACCGCCAATCTGTGGGCTTGACCCTCATCAGACTTTTAAATTATTAGTACAATGCATGGCATACAGCTACAACTACAACACAAGTAAAGAAAGATGACTTACACATCGTCCCATGTAATACAAGTCTATGCAAGAACAACTTCAACAATGTAGGACTTCGACTGCTAAATCATCTGCCACGATATATTAAAGAAATACCGGTACTATATCAAAAGCGCTCTGAAAACGTACCTACTCGATCATTGTTTTTATAAAGTTGACGAGTTTCTCTCGTGTGAGACAAACACGAATCAATTATAATCACATAATTCATGAATAATCGGTTTTGGGAATCCCTACTGCGCAGTTTTCCTTTCTTTCTTCCAGCAACCAAGATAACAGTCGGAGATATACCTGAATGGGCTATTCTGGAGAGATTGCAGATGCCAAGAAGCTGCACCAAGAAGGGAGAACAGATGTAAAGAAATGCTGCAGTGTAGAGTCTACAGTGAAACGTTATATCAGTGGTATCACCAAATTCACCAGTATTATCTCAAAGGCCGCGCCATAGCTTAAGCAGTTAGTCGCTGGCTTCCCACCGCTGCCCTCTAGTCAAGTGGGATTTGTGAAGGACAAAATGGCGCTGGGGCAGATTTTCCCCAAGTACTTCGGTTTCCCCTGCCAGTCCTCATTCCATCAAATTCTCTATAAACATTATCACCAGTAGAGGTACAATAGGACATATGGAAGCCGAGGGACGTGCCGAGGTGACCTAATATGGATTCCACCTCACACTATGTGAAATCTTAACTATTGTAATCTGCTGTAATCTATTGTAAACAATTTTAAGTATTGTAACTTTATTCCCTTATTGTAATCAGCCAATGTACAGTAACAGACTTGTCCTATATCATGTAACAATGATCTATAGAGACGAAATAAATACTTAC